AAAAGTATTCCTGTGGCTCAGCTTGCCCCAGGTTAGGGTTAAATTGATCCGAGTCAGTGGGTAAGTTGAGCCATGTGACTTTTTAAGGATGCCTCTTTTAAAAAAACTGATTCAATAATACATTTTCCTTTTTCATATAGTCTTATTTGAAACCATCCAAGTACTTTAATATTCCACATTTTTTAATGTTTGCCTTTGGTGAAACCATTTAAAACATTTCTGTTAAATGAGGGTAGTCATCCAAATGAAAAGGACAACAAAATTCTTAATGAAAAAATGTGGCATTAATCACATATAATAAACAAATGAGTGTTTGGCAGAAAAAATAATAAGAAGAGATGGTGGCCTGCCATAAAATTCTTGAACAAATCTTGACCCTAAAGAATATATTTCATACTACTGTATTTACCAACATTCGCCAACACTTTTGGCATAAGTGGCTGCCCTCTCCAGATGGTTCCTTTCTGGTAGGTTCTTGGTATGATAACTTTTCTACAATATTTAAAATGTGATAAACCACCAGTTGTGTGACAAAATATTGAAATACCATTGTATACTTTAGAGCTTTCATTTCACTTTAGTGGCTTTTGGTTGGGTAGTTGGAGCACTAGCTCAGTTTACCCCACAGCATTTGACTCAATTTGCCCCGTACCCACCATTTTGGAAAAAATATCTAGATTAGCAACTCAGACTAATTTTCAGATAAATGATTCCCATGGTTTTATATGTTGGCAAACCACATGTAAAATACACATTTTTGTAGACCTGAAAAACAGTAATTATACCTGACATGCTGAAAAATAACTGTGACAAGCACAAACAGTTTTTAATATGTAAACATGTACTTATAATAATCCCATGTGCTTTTTCCCATCACAGACAGACAGAAATCTTGGGAGCTTCCTGAATTTATAGTCATGTGAGAACAAATGTGCACAGTTGCTCTAGAAACAGGGGGTGGGTCAGCTTACCCACTCGCTCATCTTACCCCACTCTCCCCTGAATAATGAATGTGAAGTAGTTCCTCCCGATATCTAATCTCTGTCCAGTACTGAAACATTTGTAACACTGATGCAATGTTTGTGCAGTTTTCATAGTAATATTGTCATATGATAACCACATACACCTTTCTGTACACATTTTCAATTTTATTCATGCTTTACACACAGGTGGAGGCTTTGTTCTACATGTGTATTTATAGTTTTGTATTATTTTACTGTGTATATTAAGCATCTTTGACATAAACATTTTGTTAAAGATGAATAATGTTCTTATCTTATCTTATCTTATCTTATCTTATCTATCTTAACTTCAATCCAGCCTTGTCTCCATATATGACAGTAAGTGCGATGACATGACATGAGGACACAAATAACCCATTTATGAGGCTTATCCCATTTTTGATCATACCCAGGATATGGTGTTTACATGAGCACAGAAAAATCAGGTTTTTCATATTCCCTTATATATATCTTGGTTTATTTCAGAGTACTACAGCTGGAAACTTTTTTTTTGTTGTTGTTGTTGAGACTGATGGACAGAGTATGTTGCTCATATCATCACCTAAAACCACATAACAGAGGGTAGAGCTGATACCGCCTCCTCCTTTTACACACACAGATGCAAACACGAGCGCGCACACACACACACACAACCACACACACACACACACACACACACAAACCTTTATGTGAAAGCAGTATATGATAGTGGTATTAATGTACTGTATGTTATGTCTTTAGATTTTGTTGATTCCTGTAGAGAAATACTGTGCAGCCTCTGTATTTGACCTGTCTTACTGTAGTGTAGAGTGAGCTGGTGGCACAGAGCCCACCTCTGAGGGCAGTGCCTTGGTCCAGGGTGGTACAGTAGTAGGAGTACCTTATACACATCTTTTAAGACAAGAAAGCCTGGGCGAAACCCAGCCCAAGACAATACATTAAAACTCTAGCTAGAAAGAGTCATGTGCCAAGTGAGGTAGATTAGAAGTGCCTGAGAAAGAATTACTAGCAGCTGAACAGGCTTACAAAAATTCCTTGATCCAGACAGATTATAATACCATTTTTAGAGGAACAAATTGGCAATATACTACTAACATAATACTTTAACTTAAACAGGGACACTTCGAGTTTGGTGACAAACCACAGAAAGTGCTGTCAATGCAGTTAAAAGGATAACAAGCAAAAAGAGCCATTTATTAAAAAAACAACAACAAAAAAATCTAAATCTGGCTGGATTCTTACGGACTTAAAGGATATCAACAATCGATTTAGGGAGCTCTGTTCTGTTATATACACCTCCAAATTCACAGCTACGCAAGAAGAATTTGATGATTTTTTTAATTCATTTCAAGCAATTGAATGCAACTTTTACAGAAAATTTGGACTTTGACTTTTTGCTGTCTGAGTGAGACATGTATAGCTGTAGACACATTCCGTTTGATATGATATGATATGCCCTTACAAACCACGCCCACCACTAGTACAAGACAACTCCCCCAGCCAGACGGTTATCTGAACCCTACAATGCTACACTGTAGTGAATAAACGAGACCAATTGTAGCAATAATCTACTTTAAAATTCATGAAGACGTGATTCACTTTATAAGTAACACAATGTAACTCTTCCCACTAGCCTTATCATAAGCTTAATGACCTCTCTGTTAATGTAATAATTCATAGCTAATCATGAGTTTAGCATTAGCATAAGTAACAAGATGTTGCCATCCCTTTACCCTTACCATAACCTTAATCACCTCTCTTTTAATATAAAACTTCATGACTAGCTAATTGCTAACTAAGTATTAGCATAAATAACGAGATGTAGCCTTCCCATTGCACTTATCCTAACCTTAACCACCTTTCTTTTAATACTTCATAGATAGCTGATTGATAGCATAGCTAGCTGAACTATTAATTTTGTTGGGACTTCCGCTTCCAGGCCAAGGAGCGAAGGGCTAATTGTGGACTGACATGTAAGTAATGTGGGCAGGTCATTTAGCTAGAGGGGGAGTCATGTAGCTACTTTAGCTGCAGTTTTACCTAATGAGAGTTACAGAAAGCCAATAAAATATTTCTCACTGGAAAGGCAGCTGGACCAGGTGGGTTCAGGCCAGAGATCTATAAAGCCCTCTGAGATGACCTTACACCTACTTTACTGAGAATGATTCAGGATCCCTTCAATAAAGTATTTCTCACTGGAAAGGCAGCTGGACCAGGTGGGTTCAAGCCAGAGATCTATAAAGCCCTCTGGCCTTACACCTACTTTACTGAGAATGATTCAAGATCCCTTTAAAAACAAGAGCCTCCCATCCTATTAAAAGCTAAAGACAAAACAGATCCTGGCACCTATAAGCCCCTGCTAAACTTCATGCTGTGCAGGTACTCCTTCTGTAATGTTTGCAAATTTCTCAATACTTTGCATATTGTTAAAGGCAAAGATGACAGAGCTGCTATATTGTCTTTAGATGCCCATAAGGTGTTTAACATGACAGGGGGGCCCTATTCAATTGTGACACTGAGGACATTTGGATTTGGCGACACATTCATAGAATGAGTCAAAATATTGCATACTAATCCAAAAGCCCTTATATTCATATATGGGGATAAATCCAGTGTGTTCTCTTTGCAAAGTGGCCTTCGTGCACACTATTGTGATGGGCCCTGGTGCACACTAGTTACCAGTTATAAGGCACACACACACACACACACCACTGTATANTGGATGTTGAGAGACACAAAACCTCCTGTACATCAGATAAGATGAATTCCATTAATTTAATTTAATAGTTTTATTTTTTAAATAGTTTATTCATAATTTCTATGGTTTATGTAGAATAAGCATTGCTACTGACTATTTTAACCAAGAAAAAAAAGAATAAGTTTTACTTTAATTTGACTTTTCCTTTGAACACAAGTGTAGTTCAGAGGTAGCAATCTGAATCATCAGATCACATAATCATATAAATACACTGAGCAATACAAAACATGATATTTCACCAAAGGGTCTCATTGGAAAGACAGAATGGAAATCAGATAGTTCCTGCTGTTTATCAACACTTAGCTGGTTTTCAACCAACCACTCACCCACCAGTAAGGAAGAACAAGAAGAACATAAACAAGAACAAGAAAAATAGCAGGCCTGACTGGCTTACTCTGACAACTGATTTATACAGATAGGTCAAAAGATCCTGAGAGTGGCAGGGCAGGATTTGGACTGAGCGTACCCCAGTTTGAGTTCAGTCAGAGCAGATGACATGGTGGTGGTGACATGATGGTGTTGCAGTCTTTACAGCTGGGCTTATCGCTTTTTTATGAGTGCTTTGGTAGTTGGAAGAAGTGGGGCCAGTCGAGGCAGTTTTGTGTTCAGACTCAGCTGCTGCCCTGGTAGGACTCAGAGGGGGAAGTCAAGAGCCAGACCAGACCTTATGGGGGAAATCCAGACTCAGATCTACAGGCTGGAGAGTCAGGGATGTAGGGTGGGGTAATTATGGGTCCCGGCCCACATAGGGATAGAGGGGAATGTGGCAGCAGATAGGATGGCCGAGGTTGCACTACAATGTCAGTATAGATGTCAGGGTTTATATTGGCAGGAGTGAGTGCAGAAGTGCAGGCATCTTTTTTTCATTCAGCCACGGGTAAACGGACACAGTAAAGTGAACTGAGAAGATGAAATCAAGCTGACTAGATTAAGGGCCCCTGTAGACTGCAGAGTGGGCTACTGTTGGTGGGGAAACACCAGGATGGGAAATGTCTGGCATGTGGAGTGGTGGACACCATGCAGTGTGATGCTCTGATGCCAACTGTGCACAGAAAAAATGAAGATCTTGTGTGTCGAAGTGGCTAAGCTGGGAGTGGAGACATACTCCTTATGGACTCTGTTTGGGGAGAACTACAACAAAAGCCAAAATGTCAGGAAAATTATTGATTTTTATCCTTACTTAAATCCTATATCCTATCTATCCTATATTTAGGTCAGCAGAAGCCGACTAGGGTGTAGTGACCAGTGTAAACAGAGTGAGGCAGCAATGCGTCAAACGCGCCTAGTCTGCCATTAAAATGGAAAACAGGAAGAAGAAGAAGAAGAAGAAGAAGGAAGGCCGCTTATCTGATCTCTCTCTCTCTCTCTCTCTTTTTTTTTTTTTTTTTTTTTTTAAAGCTAATCTTACCACGAAGGCAACAAGTTGTAGCCAATTGCAGGGAGAGTGGGACAGGCCATGCTATCGCTATCCTAGGAAAAAGCAGCGGGGAGAACAAAAAGTAAAGAAGAAGAGACGAATTCGAGGTACATTGTTTATTTCACAGTTATCCGGGTGTGGATTTGCCACATTTACCCCTGTTCCACAGCTCAGGACAAGTTCTGAGTAAACTAAGAAATACTGATGTGACGTTAGCCAGAGTTTGCTGCACTTGTGTGCAAACCACAGTTGAATATGGAAAGACAGGCCCCAGCACCTTTCATTGGATTGCGCCGATTTGTTTTGCAGAACTGAAGACTGAAGACTCAACCACCGATAAGTTAAACGTTAGCAAGCGAAATGTGTGTATGCATCTCGTTAATTTAATGTCGGTTAAAGTTCGTTAACGTTACGTAGACGGATAGTTAAGATTTTTTGAAGTGGGGTTTTATGATATACTTATCTATAGACAGCACGTTACATACACTAGATGTTGGTCTAGAACGAGTGGTACCCATGAATCATACGCACACATACACATGGGGAAATAGAGCCCAGGTTGAAAAATACCAAAGTTATCCTTTAAAAGGTAATTTGAGCTTATCTTCCTTTTAAGTTTCTTATTATTATTTTACAGGAAAACTACAGGAAAATTGACATGGACATACTGGGGCTAGCCTAAAACAAGAATTGATTTAAAGTTTCATATAACCCATGAAGGATTTAAAAAAAATTATAATATGAGGAAGTTTGAGCAGACTTTCCTTTTAATTTTCTCAAAAACTGTACAGCAAAGTCTCAAGAAAATTGACACAGACATTGTCAGGGTCACCCTAAACAAGAATCCATGTTATAAACATAAATATTACATAAATATTGCTTGTCATTATTAGAAATTACAATTTTAATTTGTATTGTGTTTACAATATGCAGATGCCTTTGAAACACTTAAGTTAAACATGACAAAAGAAGAAGAAGAAAACACGTTTAAATAAATTAGTTAGCAATTAGCAGCTTTAAGCTTCAGATTAGGTTTGTTAAAAATGTGAATGGGTTATTTAAATCGACTTAATACTAGGGATGGGCAGCACAAGCAAAAACACTATTCAAAAATCATGGCAACTATTCGACAATTTTTCGACGCTCGCTTTTGGCTCGCCGCTCGCGCAGAAAACTGACCAGACAGCGAAACAATCACTGCAGGGCGTGAGCCAGCCACGGAGCTGCGCGGTGCGGCGCCGCTGGTGTGGATGACACAATCGGTTAACATGGGCGCCGAAAGGAAACTGGCCTCGCTTCTCGGCGCTTTGAGGCTATTCGCAGCGCTTCCGTGGGCGGTGTGGCCCTGGTGTTACGGTCCCTCGCTGCCTCCTGTGTGCCTCGCTCTCAAATTACTGTGCATACTTGTTGTAGACTTGTGATATGCAAGCTTTGCCTCACAGAGTTTGCACTGCACCTCATTTTCGTTTATTTTGTCGAAGTTGTTCCACACGGAACTTTTTGATGACTGTAGTAGTTTCTGCATGTTTCTCCTGTTTGTAGAAGAGCATCAAACTAGCTGGTAGCCCATCTCACACCGCTGTAGCAATCCTATACTGCCCTCGCGCGGTTAGGAGCTGAATTGCATGTCAAATAAAGGGGGGGCATAAGACGGCGAATAGTAATAGTCGCATTAAAAAATTGATTTTTCAAAAATAAAATGACTATTCGAAATTCGAAAATCGTGACCCATCCCTACTTAATACATGTTTTCTACATTTCTGGCATCTCGTCCCACTTCCCAGTTGATATATCAGGAGAGAGAACTCTACAAATGTATATTCTGTTTGAGTGTTGAGACTGTGAGACCGACGTTACTGAACAAAAACAAAGCCATCAGTGATGGCTGTGAAAATGTATAGTGATTTAACACTTAATATGACACGATTGTCACCATACCTTCTCAGTTTGCCATTGACTGCTCCAGTGGCTGCCGCTACAATGTCTCACAATGTGCTCGTCTGCAGCTGTGGCTGATAGCCATTATTTATATATACAGTACAGGCCAAAAGTTTGGACACACCTTCTCATTCAATGCGTTTTCTTTATTTTCATGACTATTTACATTGTAGATTCTCACTGAAGGCATCAAAACTATGAATGAACACGTGGAGTTATGTACTTAACAAAAAAAGGTGAAATAACTGAAAACATGTTTTATATTCTAGTTTCTTCAAAATAGCCACCCTTTGCTCTGATTACTGCTTTGCACACTCTTGGCATTCTCTC